TTTTGGTCAAATTTGGCAAATTTGGCACATAGATAAATTAATCTGAATCTGCCGCTTTTCTCAGAATTTTGTGGTGCTTGACTCTTCCTGCATTGCTCCCCTCCAGTCTGCAAACAGCCATTAATAAATTTGGGATATGGAATGACTCAGTTCATTATTAAAGGATACTGAACCTCAGAGACTGCAGATAATTACTTTTGCATACTATTAAAAGTGTTCGTAAAAATTGACATTATTTTAAGGCTCAACGAGAGGTACATGACTAAAATAGCATTAAAATTTTATTTTTTTTCCCCCTCTCTGCAAATCCAATGACATTTAAAATATGACATTTGGAAGGCAGAACCTCTAATATCCAATAATGCCAGCGTGTGTGGCCGTATTTCTTTGCTGGCTGCAGACAAATGCTTGTCAATGTCACCTTCAGCACCTGCCATCACTTATTAGCAGCTCTGAAATCCTGCTTGGGAAACTTTGGGAGCATTTTATAGCCACCAGGAAAGTCAATTAATTAGGCTGCGCCGCCACACGAGCGCTGCAATTATTTCGCCTTTCCCTTTGATTTTCTGTTGACCAGAAATTTCCAGGCAAATCTTGGAGGCCAATTAAGAAGTTGGAGGATTGCACACGAGTGCAGATCCCATTCCTGTGGACTTTGGGCTCGGGATTTGCTCTGTGTGACTTTGATTTGTTTGTCTGCTTTGGTTTTTGCTCTCGTTGCTGCCATCTGCATTGCTCTTCAAGGAAATCCCTTCTTTTGAGAGCTCTTCCTTTCAAATTTAGCACACAAAGTTGGAGATACAAGAAGCAGTTTAGGAGTGAGGGATTCAGAATCAAACCTTGCTGAGTTTTTAGTATAAAATTACTTCTCCTAAATTTTATACTAAATAAATATTTAGTATAAAATTACTTCTCCTAAATATCCAGCTGTAAAAATCTGGGTTTTATTGTGTTTAGCCTTTTTTACCTTCTTTCATCAGATATCTGCAATCATGGACTGAGTGGATGTGGCACTTTCTGATGTGTTTCAGTGGGCAGGGTCATATTTGGTCAAAGACTGGACTTGATGATCTTGGAGTCTTTTCCCACCTTAACAATTCCAAGATTCTCTAATCAAACCCCAGACTAAAGTCTAAATTTCCAGTTAGCACTTAGTCAGGGTCCCATTCAACAAAAATGCATCCCACGACACAGGTTATTCAAACAACATTCATTTTCACCTGTTCCAGAAATGGAACTCCTAAAGGATGCCAAAATAATAGTGATAATAATAAAATATTAAAATACAAATAAATTAAAAAATAATATTTTAAAATAATATTTAAAATAATTTTTTTAACACCCACAGCAAAGGCTGTGCAGATATTGCTGTATGGCAGGAAAGTGTTCCAACCTCTTGGAATTTTTGTTTTCACCAATCTGTCCGACAGAGTTAAGTGCAAATGGATCAGAGAGGGAATTCTTGAGAGATGAGTGAAAGATAAAAATTTCTGGGCTTGGATTTCTACCAAATAGCAAATGAATTTGAGGACTGGATAAAATGGGGCAGGGAACTGGTCTCCATCTGCACTGTCTGACCCAAATTAGAGCAGAAATCAGTGGGCTGTCAGGAGTGAATCACACTGGAGGTACCTAATAATAAACTGAGTCCTGACAGGCACAGGGGGAGAGGGTTTTGATGCCTTTTTTTCTGGAGCTCCCTAAAACCAGAGGGCAGACAGAGCTAAAGGAATAAAAAGCAGTTCTGTTGATTGAAGGCCCTTCAGGTACAGCCAGGGCAGACCCAGCCCCCCAGGGCCTACACCCAAACTGCCCCGGCTCACGGGTTTCACACTTTTATCACTTTGGGCCATTTGCACTTTGGGGGTTCATCCTCCAATTCCAGCTCCAGGTAATGAAGGCATTGAGCCCCAGTTTGCTGCCCCAACTCACTTTTGTTTCCATCTCTGGGCCCTGAGGCAGTGAGGTGTCCTTGATTGCCAGGCCTGGAGAGGAATTGTTGTGTCTGCCCCAAATGGGGCAGCAGCAGCTGGCACTGGGTGTGGAGCTCAGAGTTACACACTAAAGAACTGCAGGGTTACAGAGAGATGGAAATAGGAAAGCTCAAATCCTACAGCATCAGCTTCAGATGTGAAATGCTAAAAGGACACAGGAAAGGAGGGAGATCGTTGCATGGAGACTGTTCTGAGGAGCTGAAATAAGCCTAAGGACAGGACTGGCATTCCTGGTAAAGGATTAACCAGATTTTAGACTTTGTATGGCTGAATGCTGCTAACTTTTGATTTGACTTGCAGTTGTGTTCATTCTCCAGTCCAGGTTTTAAGGACATTCCAGGCAGTGTCCAAGCTGAACACACTTCCAAGCAGCCATGGCCTGCAGTGGGATCCATCCAGGATCTCCAGGGACAAACTCCATGGAAGAAACACCACTGCTCCTGTGAGATGACAGTCTTCCCTCCATGGATTTACCACATTTCCCCTCCTCTATGCCTGCTCCATCCCTCTGGATCCAGCAGGATCACATGCTCTGGCCTGCATTGCCAAATGTTCAATTACTGCTAAACCACCTCTGCCGCAGACAACTTTTATGAAAAATCCTTTCCTTAGGATTTTTCCTCCTGAGAAGCTGAAAAGCCTCAGGAACAAAATGTAAACAATGATTATCTGCTGCTGTGGAATGCAACAGGTGCATCTGGGATTGGTCTCATGTTGGATGTTTGTAATTAATGGCCAATCACAGTCAGCTGGCTCGGACAGAGAGCCAAGGCACAAACCTTTATCATTCCTTCCTACACTATTCTTAGCCAGCCTTCTGATGAAATCCTTTCTTCTATTCTTTTAGTATAGTTTTAATATAATATATATCATAAAATAATAAATCAGCCTTCTGAAACATGGAGTCAGATCCTCATCTCTTCCCTCATCCTGGGATCCCTGTGAACACCATCACACACCTCTCTAAAGGCTTGGATTATTTAAAATTCCCCTCAGATGGGGTCCTATTCCCAAGCCCTGTATCCCCTGCCTCACAAATCCAACAGGAGCAGCCTGCTGCAAAGCTCCCAGGCAGGAATTCCTCCTCACCAGGAGCAGACAGGCTGGATTATTTCAGTGCTGTTGTCAATAGGTGGCAATAATCTCCTTCCCTGCAGCTCCTTCAGAAATGTTTACACTTTTCCACCGCCCCGCTTGGAAATGTTCTCTCAGAGTCTCTAGTTATTTATATCTGCAAAGTTCTGCTTTTCCCCCATTATAATTTTTCATGTCACCACAGGGCAGCGACGGGGGAGGCCTGGCATGACATTGCTTTATTAGAGCCGACACCTCGCCTGGCATCCAAGGAGTTCTCATCTGCTGCACTTGCAGCCAGCAGCCATTAGCATTCCACCTCTGTCCTGCCATCAGCTAACGTGCTCCCAAATATTTGCAGAAAATCAGATTTATAAAGTGGTCACAGAGCTCCAAGGAAGGGAGTTCACAGAATTCACAGAGTCACTGGGTTGGAAGAGATTGTCAAGATCATTGAGTCCAACCCAGCTCCAGCACCTCAACTGAACCCTGGCACCCAGAGCCACATCCAGGCTTTGTTAAACACACCCAGGGATGGGGACTCCACCACCTCCCAGGGCAGACAATTCCAGGATTTTATCACCCTTTCTATGAAAAACTTATTCCTAAAATGTGACGCTCCAAGTTCATGGAGGAGTTCAGAGCATGGAGGAGTCACAGCAGCATCACCAGGGACACCCAGGATTTGCTTTCCTGTTGCTGTTCCCCCCTCTGCTCCTGATTTATCTAGGATGAAACTCAAACCTTTACAAACACCTGGTTTTCTGTTCCCCCCTCTGCTCCTGATTTATCCAGGATCAATCCCCAGCTTTCACAAACACGTGTTTTCCTCCTGCTTTATCAGAAAGGGGTGATGACATTCAGGCTCCTTTCAAATTTGTCACCTTTGAAGTTCATGGAGTGAAAACACATCTTTGGATTTGCTGAATGTGTTGAAACCCCCTCACACCAAACAGGAGGCTGGAAATCATTCAGGCAAATCTCAGAATGAACCAGGGTGGCCACTGCCAAGTGCTTTTTGCACTGGTTAATCTGCTTTTCCTCAGGCTGGGGTTTTTAATCTCTTAAAAGATGAGAACACGATTTTCCTGCCATTTTTGTCCTGTTTCATCTTGACAGCTGTGGCTGTGCAATATTAGCAGTTACTCATGAAACACTTCCCTACGCAGGGTTTGGGAGCATTTTAATGTCACATTCACATCACACTCACAAAGGTTCAGCTGCTAAAGTTGGTACACAACAGTCACTGATATTTTCCTGAAGTTTTTTTTGATGTAAAGAGCCAGGATGTTGCTCACACACCACAGGAAATAATATTTATATTATAGAATTATAGAATCATTAAAATTGGAAAAATCCTCTGAGATCATCAAGAGTTGAGACCATAAATATATAAATAATATAAATATAGAGAATAAAGTTACCTTGAGATTTGGGATCCTGAAATTTAGGAATGGGGACCAAGGCCAAGGTACCATTAATAAATGCACATCATATTGTTTGTGGTTCTCATGTTTTTATTAATTTTACTTGATTCCCACCCCAGCCCCTCCCCACCTCACAGGGAGGAATTCCTTCCTCACATCCAACCTCATTACCTCCAGTTCAGCTCATTCATCATTATCAATCATCTTTCTGATTTCCAATCTGAACAATTTTATTTTCCCACCACAGGTCCTGCTGGAGGTGACCTGGAGCAGATGTCCCCAATCAACCCACGGGCTCACAGTCAATATCTTAACAAAGCAAATCCAGGGCCTCCATCCCTGAGCAGCTGGAGATGGTTGGAGGAGGGAAAGCCCTCAGGGGGAAGCAGCTGCTGGGGTTTATAAAGCAGGAGCAGAGGTTGGGGTTTCCTTATCCCAAAGGAGAGAAAGTGCTTCCTGCTAGGAATGAGGAATCCAACTGCTCATCTTCTCTTCTCCAGCCCTTCCAACTGCTGGAACCAAGGAGAGCAATCTTCTGTCCACTGTCCCAGAGGTAAGGCTCGTCCCAAGGGTGCTCTTAGGCTGTATACAGCTTGTGTTGGAAAACATTAGAGGCTATAAGAAAAATTTACTTCTTTTCCCTTTATTTAAGGGGGTATAAACAACTCACAGAAGTTGGGGCTTTTGTTGTTTGGACGTTAGCTGTTGCAAATCTTTGACTTCTTAAAGCTCTTGCTTTTATGATGTGTGTCTGTTGGAGAACTGATGTTATGAATCTGACACATAAATTGTCTTCCAAGTGTTTTTATTCAGGCTTTGAAAGATCTAATCCACCCTCTTTTTAGAATTTTTTTTCTTGTTTAATTCATCCTCTTCTCTTGTTGGGCCTGCCAATATTTAATTCTCAGAGTCCTAAATAATTTCAGGGTGCAACTTTTGCCTCTAAGTTAACAAGAGCATAACAAGAATGAGGCAGGCACAGGCAATGAGCAATCACCAGACAAGGCAGAGGCTGCATTTGGTTCCTAAAGAATTTTTTTCCAGCAACAAAATGCTCATTTCATTCTTGCCAAGGCCCCAAAACTCTGCTGCTTAGAGGGTGCACAGCTCTCAAGGCTCTGGGTTCATCCTTTCCTCTCCTCCTTTTGACTCTGGCTGCAGGAGCAGCAGATGAAGTTCCAATTATCCCACTCAAATCAAACATTCCTGGCAGGGACACAGGAAAGAGGCTCAAAATGGGAAGAGCTGGGTAGAATAAAATAAATAAAATAAAATTCCCTGCCCCAAAAGCAGGGAATTCACCCTCTTGGTGCTCCAGCAGCTGCAGCTCTCCAAGCAATCCCAAGGAGTTTGTTGATCCCAGTGCTTCTTTGGGAGGTGCCTCAGTTCTGAAGAGAAATTCATGATTATTCAAGTGGGCTGGTTTGTGTTATTGATATCCTGATGTCTTCCTAAATTAGTCAGACCTATTTACATGTTCTAGCCAAAAAAACCGAATCTATAGGACAGACATCACTTGTAGAACTACACTCAAGCCAACCAGAAGCTTCATTAATTTGTTTCTTTTCCTCTGGAGGCATTCATGTAGCTTTCTTTATATTTTTCTTCTTGGTGAAAGAGAATTTTAAAACCACCCAATTTCACCAACTAATCAAAAATGTAGGGTTTTTCTTTGCTTTCAGCTGTTAAAGGAAAATATTGACTCAACAAAATTGCCTTGTTTATTAGGAATAGATGGCCTTCAGTAGAACAATTAATCAAGTTAAAATAATTTTATTGATTTAATGAATTTAATTAATTCTCCTAAAAAATTCTAGCCCCTCAGTGGGAGAGGGCAATACCAGGAGCTGGGAGATGGGTGGATGGAAGAATTCCTGGGAGCTCAGGGAATGAGCAGTGAGAGCTGCAAGCCCTGGGATCCAGCAAGGAGCAGGAATCCACACTTTGCTAGGCACTGCCTTTCCCATCACCCCTCGTCATTGCAAATCAAACTGGAATCTTTGGAGGTTTATATTTTAATTTATATTTATTTATATTTAAATGCTTCATTCAGGCAGGTTTTTTCTTTCCCCACCCACTATTACCTGTGGTTTAAAGAGAATGTGTATTTTGATCAATGGAAACTGCAGGCCTTAAACCAACAGATCAAATGTAGGAACTTCTTGAGCATTAGCAGAGCATTGTTCCATGTAACTTCAATTTAAATATTGATTGTGCAGCTATTGGAGCACCAAAACCCATAAAACCTGGATATAAGGTGAGTGCATCCACCACTAAGAGAACTGGAAAGTAGAGCTTTAAAAAACCTATAAAAAAACAATTATTACACTGATTTAATCCTCATATTTAGCAAAATATTCTGCTCCAGGGAGTGCCAGCCCTGTGCTGGAGTGTTCTGACAAACAAGTGTGATGCTACTGAGGGTGCTTTTGGTGTGTAACCGAGTTTGTTTCCCATCTCCAAATGTCTTTGCCAAGATGTGCTGCAGGGGAGGGCTCGGTGGAGCTGAAATAATGCACACCACGAGGAGCTGCAGCGAGAGAACCGGGGGCAAAAACATCCCACCTTCCCTGGGGGCTTGGGATGCAATTTCTGGCTCTCGTGTCTCGGAAAGAAATCCCTGCTGTGTGAAACCAGGAGGGGTCATCCCTTTTCTTCCAGGCCAGCAGCTCCCAGGGCCTGAATCATCTCCTGGGCAGGGCAAGTTCCCTTGGACTGCTGTTTATCCCTTTGGGATTTCATCTTCTGGGCACTAGAGCAGGGTAGAACTCTGTTAATTTCCCTTAATTGGCTCGTTAAATTGAGAGTGGATCCCAGGTCTGTGCAGGTCTTGGTGTCTCCATCCTTTAATTATATTTACTTACCCCACGTGAATCCATAAAGATGATCCCAGTGTCTTTCCAAGCCTGGATTTTGGAGTCTGCCAAGGCCAGCTGCAATCTTTGGGTCTTTATTATTCCACAGCCACATCTGGGTGGACAGAACAGACTCTCTGTACATGTTTCACTTCGTGTTTTACAAGGTGCAGCCAATTATTCACTGCAGGAACCACCGGCACTCGCTGCAGAGGAGAAAATGAAATATAGGCCTTGCAACCCACCTGGCACTGCTCATTCCCTGTGCCTTGGACACGTTTTTATTGGGAATAGACAGCTCTAACCACACTGTTTGGGTGTTTTAAACCACGAGTTAGGATTAATGTCTATAATAAAGAAATAAATAGGAATACCTTGATGCAGGGACACCTTCCACAGTCTCACTCCAAGCTTTATCCAATTTCTCCTGAATATTTTCAGGGATGGGACAGCCACAGCTTCTCCCTGCTCCCAGGGAAGAGAGCAGGTTGGACAATGAAGAGAAGGAACAGCAGATCCTACAAAATAATTAATAATGCAAGGAACTCTATCAGCTGCTCCTGCTGATGCCTTTGGATGGGAGCATGGAATTTAATGGGAAGGGAATATGAAGGAGCTGCAAGAGTCATCCCACACAAGGTGCAATTAACACCTGGGAGCTTTGCACTGCTGAATAACTTTAAAACCAAGCGCTCAGAAGGATAAAAAGGGGATTATACGATATTCATGGTGATAATGAAAAGATCAGGATTTATTAGTGAAAATCACAATGCAGAGGAGAAATCATCCTGGTTTTGGGATTTACACTGCCAGGATCACCAAAGAGCTGACAGCAGCAGGTAGGAGCTGCCCTGAGGACAGGGTGTTCACCATTTATTTTAAAAAGGTTTTTTACACCCTTTTTGAAAGTTGTTATTCCTACACGTGTTACCACGGCCCCAGGTAGGGCCTGAGATTGAGAATTTTTAAATCCCTGGCAGCTTTTAAGAGCAAAGAGTTGTTCTGGGCACAGGTTTGGAAGTGTTTACAGCACTGCCAAGGCTTTTTGAAGGCTTTTAAACGGGCAGTAAATTCGAGGGGCAACCTTTTAAGGATGGAAAATGCATCTTTGGGGAGGTTTGGGTTTTTCTACAAAAGTTTTTGGGCTCACTCCTGGCATGGAAATGTGGGAATGTGTCTGAGCATTTTGGCGCCTAAACACCAGGTAACTGCCACAGTTCCACACCATTTTGGAGCTTTTTAGTTGTGGATCATTATTATTCATCAGAATATCCTTCAGAATTGTATTTAAACATTATTATTATGTATGTTGAAATCAAGAATAAGTGAAAACACAGTGAAATCTTAAAGGGGAAAAAAGAAAAGTGGAATTTTTACCTCATGAATCACTACCAAAAGTAGTGGAAAGAAGGGAGAAATATCCCAGAAACCAAAGATCTTATGAGGAACGGATATAAGCAAGACCCTCCAAGTCTGGTTTTTTTTTTTTTTTTTTTTACAGTTTTAATTCTGGGATTTTGTAGCTCTAATTCTGAGATTCTGAGTTAGAGCAAAAACAAAATGCCAGCTAAGATGCAGAGTTAATTAGTGAGCAGGGAGTATTTGCTTTTAGTCCTATTTTTTGCCAATTGAAACACACAGTCTTAAGTAATGAACAAATAATCATCTCTTCAATGATTTAGCTCTGTTTATTTCCTTCAATATCCCATTGTCCTGGGAGGCAATTGATGAAGTTGGGGAGACACTGTGCAGCATGGTGTGAAATGATATTTGTACCCCAGTCACAGCAGATAGAATTCTGCCGGGCACATCCTGAATTCCCTGCTCCCTTTAATCCACTCCTTTCATTATTCCTTGCATATTGCTTTTTGCAAGAAAAAACTAATTTCAGAATATATCAGGAATTTTGCTGCCAGAATGGCAAGATCAAGGTTTGAAGCAGCAAACACTGAATTATGGTTGTCATTCACTTGTTAAGCTTTCTCTGGCCTGATTTAGCTGGCAGCAGATTCCAACAGAGTTAAGAAGGACAATTGGTAAAAAAAATAAAATTATAAACTGTGAGAGGCTAAACTGAACACCAGTTTAGCTCAATAAAGCTCTTTATGGATAAATAACAGCAAAGAGCCACTGATTCTTGCTCTGGGCTATTATTGACTTGGAGAGAAGTCTCCCATATATCAATCAATAGGGAGGTTTGGCTGGCAGAGTTTTACTACAAAGGGAAATGGACTGAAAAAGTGACCTGAAAAAAGAGAAGCTGAAGTGTCTCAACATGGAACGCTTCAGAAAGTTGTGTTTCAGTGAGAGACTGCAGCTGCAATAAAAATGGAGAGACAAAAATGGGCAGCAAATATTTGGGGGTTATTTGGGTGGTGCAGCTCAGCTGTGCAGGTTGTGCTGCTGCTGCTGGTCTGGGCAGAGCAAATTAATAGAGATTCCATTAATAGAGATCTCATTTATAGCAAAATATTTCCCTGGAAGTGTCCAAGGCCAGGTTGGATGGGGTTTTTAGCCCCTTGGGACAGTGGAAGGTGTCCCCACCATGGCAGGGATGACACTGGATGGGCTTTGAGGTCCCTTCCAACCCAAACCTTCCTATAAAGGATAAAAAAGACTCATTGAGGTCTCCAGGGTGAGAATGAGAGCTGAGAGCAGGTAAAATCTCCAGAGCTGGAGGTGGGAAGGGAAGCAGGAGCAATGCTGGGTGACCTCCAGGCCCTGACTGAGCAGTGTGTGCCGATCACCCTTTGTTACAGAGCACAAACATGGGTTTATTTTAGGGTTTGCTTTTCACCAGACCAAGGCCTTGCTGGAGGTGCTGAGAATGCCTGAAAATCCATGCAGTGATTCCCACACTTCCTTGAGGCACAGCTGGAATCCGATTATTTCCCAATCCCTCGGTGTCCCTCACGATGAGGGGGGGACAATGGTGGGCCTGGCAAGGTTGTGCCCCACAAGGAACAAAAATCCTCTTCTTTCCCTCCTATCAGCAAAAACTGGCTCCAATCCAGTCAGTTCTTGAACAAAATGTGAATTCTGAGCACTTCAGTTTCCAGCAGTTGTTCTGAGCTCTGTTTATTTTCACTCTCCTCTGTGAGGGAGCTCCAAAGGGCCTGGTCAGAAAACACTGCTGGTGTTAAACACCTTGGAGTAAACAGAGCTGGAGCAATTAGCTATGTCACCTTTAAAGTTTCTGTTTGCTACAGGGAGTAAATCAGTCCAGCAGGGCAAAATGTTCCAGAAAAACACCAAGATCCAGCTGCTGCAGAGGTTCAGGGCAGCTGCCACCTTCCAGGAAAGGTATTGGAAACTGCTTTGGGAGTTCTGGCATTCTTGGCAATTTCAGGTCACCCAGAGATGCTGAAAAGGAGTTTTTTAAAGCTGAACCAGCTGCATGTAACTGTGTAAAAAATGAGCCTTGAGTGTATTTTAAAGGGTTGAAGAGTGCCTGATTCAAGGTGATGTTAAATTCTGTTTGTTTTTGTGTCGTGCAGTCGCTCACATATTAAAAGATGGTCTGGTTCATTGATAGTAACACTCAATACAGAAATCATTCTGATATTTTTCATTCCAAGTGCTCCTCATGCAAGGGCCTTGTCCCCTCTGCCATCTCTGCTGGTTTGGGGAGCCCAGGTGAAGAAGGCTCAGCCTGAGCCGTGAAGTCCTGTGCAAATCAAACCTCTGCAGTGCCCACAGAACACACCATGAGGGAGAGAACCGTGCTTGAGGGTTCGTGTCAGATCTCTGAGGGTGCTGATAGATGTGGAAATGCTGGAAATGTCTGCTCCTGTCCATGCATGAGAAGGGCAAGGGCCAGCCAGGGAGGTTTTTCTCCTTGCATTGATCCCACAGCTGGGAGCCAGCAGGAAAATAATCAACATCTCCTCTGCCAGGCTCTCCTGAGCCCTGCTGTAGGTCAGGCCATGCTCCAGTCCCAAACAGAGCAGCAGAATATTTACGGACGCTCGTGGAAAGAATGGATAATTATGTCTCAGTCCTGCTGCAGTATTTATAGGCCCTTCTCCAGGAAATGTAGTGAAAATGGAGAAAAATGTTACTACGAGGCAGCTGTGAAATCCCATTTGCAGTTGTAGCTGCTCAGAATTTTTGCTTGATGATTCTGTTCCAGGAGCAGCCTGTTCTGCACCCTCAGTGGTGACCTTTCTCTTCAGCATGAACTTTACAGTGCTCATTTCCCTGCAAAGCTAAGGAGGAGACGGATACCAACCCCCCTGCTTGTAAATTCCTCCTGTATTCCTGTTTGATCCTCCGTCCTCCGAAATGACATTTCATCATCCGTGTTAGGGGAAATATCTTCATTTTCTAACACATTTGCTTTACTCCTGGCCTGAGTTGGGAATTGCATCTTCAGAAAGACAAGAAAATCATCATCCAGCTCAGACCAAGCCCAAATCCTTCTGTCTCCACCCTATGGAGGGCAAGGGAGCAGGAGGTGGAAGGAAACAAAGGATGGATGCTCAGGATCCAGTGGGATCCAGCAGCACTGGTTTTACTGGGATTTTCTGACAGGAATGTCCAGGATTGTCCTCACATCTGGAGCCCTCATGTTTGGGACCCGCAGAGCTCAGCAAATCCCACTTTAAATTGTGAATTTCCATTGGGAAATGCCTGGGGACACAGGCTGGTTACAGTAGGGACTTTACTAATGGCTAATTAATTGTCTAAACACATTAACTGTTGATAGGCAGAGGGAGAGAGGGGCTGGCATGAATAACAATGAAAGGCAAATGATCAGCCTCAGCTCTGAGCATCCCAAATTGAGAAACACTGATTTAATCTCTGCTGAGAGGCACCTGGGCACAGCCTGCCCTGCAAAACTGCCTGGGAAACTTCACTGCTGCCAAATCAAGGAACAATTCCAAGTTGGGTTTTGTCTTGTTTTCCTTATTTTTCTCTAATCCTTGTTCTAAAACTAAAGCAAAACCCCTGTCACTATCAGTTATCTTGCCACAGGAAGATGTTTGATTATCACACATCCCTCATGTTTATTTAGCTCAATAAACAACACAAAGACAGCTTGTAGGAAATGAATCCTTCCTGCATTATCTTGTTATCTGCATTTCCTCTGGAAGAAACACTGCTGGAATTATTGTGTTTGTATTTTGAATTATAATATAAATCAGCTTGCAAGAGGAAAATAATTGGCTTCTCCACACAGCAGATTTGAACCTTTCCAGGCTCTGTGTTTAGGCTGCAGTATTCAGGACAGATACTGAATTTCCTTGGTGTTAAAAGCTGACTTTATGGGCAGATGGGACATTCAGTTAGCTGGGAATTTATCAGCTCTTTCAGGAATAAAATCACATCTTGAAGAGCAGAGTAGTAAAAATGTCCATGGGAAGTTTCCCCTGCTGGAAGAAGGCACTGCTGTCACATTTTTTTTCATTTGGCTCTTTGCTAAGCAAAACACCAAAGTCCTCTCAGAAGCAAAGCCACCATGGGTGGCAGTGGTGGAGACAAACCTTCACACCACAGCAGGATGAGCACTTTGTCCTTTTAAAAGTGCCTCAATTGTCTCAAAACCTGAAATTCTTTAGAGAAAAAAGTGAAAATATTGCAATGATGCCATCCCTGGCTGGGGCAGAGCTGCTTTGAGGAGAGTGGAGATGAGCTGAGAGCTGCAGATGGTGCCAGTGGAGGACAGGGCTGATTGGGGAGGGTTTCTTGGTTTCTCAGGGAGATGGGCTAAGACAAACATCTTCTGTAAGAAAAATGCTCTGGGAAGTCATTTAAGGTTTTATTTTTGGAGCAGAATCACTTACTGTGGCTGTTGGAGATTTGACAGTAAAACACCAACTCTCTTTTTACTACAGAACCTGAGGGGATGAAGAGTTTTGGGTTCTTCTTCTTAAACCTGTGCTTTGGTAGGGAAGCTGGAAGCACATTCCAGGCCTTTTTCCAAAGTGCCTCTCCAGCTCTCCCAGAGCCCTTTTAAGCGCTGGAAAGGGCTCTAAAATCTCCTTGGAACCTTCTCCTCCCCAGGTAAACACTCCCAGCTCTCCCAGAGCAGAGGTAGGGCAGAAACTGAACCAGTTCCTCAAGACTCAGCAATTACTAATTAGGAGATGAAGTCAATAATTGCTGCAGTGTGAAGGTTTGGACGCAGATAAACGTGTAAAGGTGCCAAGAATAAACTAATTGAAACAGAATTACATCAAACATTTGCCTCATGTTGAGGGGGCTCAGTGTTTGTTTTGTGAGCCCTGGCTGAGGGGATGTTTAATATCTGAGCAACTGCTTGCAGGGAAACACTGGGACCAATAAAGAATCTGGGCCTCCAAGTGCCTCAGCACTTCAAAATGTCATTAAAAGTCACTCCACAAGGCAAGCACTAAATATATATTCTGCCTCTCCACGCCAGCTTGCTGTGGGATGTGCAGGGAGCTGTGCATTTATAACATCCTGCGCCTCAAACCAGGGGATTGAGGAAAATCCTGAGCTGGAAGGGACCCACAAGGACCATGGAGTGCAACCCCAAGGCCTGCACAGACACCCCAACACCCCAGCCTGTGCCCGAGAGCTTTATCCAAATGTTCCTTCAGCTGGGAAATCCTTGGTGCCTGATTCATTCCCTCCACCAGCGCCACAAAAACCATTCCAGTCACTTAAAATCAGACTGCTAAGGAAATATTCCCATTCCCAGGAAAACTAGGCCGAGGTTGGGTTTGCAGTTGTGGGGATTTCACCAGGAGCTGCTCAGCAGAAAGAAGGAAGGAAAGGAAGAGCTGCTGTTGGAATATGAAATTGCACTAAGCTGTGATTAAAAATTAATCCGACTTCTGATTGGAAAAACTTGGAAATTAACGGTGAAATCCGTACAGGAATACATGAAAAGGTTACCACTGTCAATTTTTCATGGATTAAGTTTCATTATCAGATAAGGCCATAAAACCAACTGGTTTCAAGAGGGAAATTTCCACTTTCCAGGATTTTCCCCACCTTGTTTATTCCTTCAGCTTTAATGTTGATGGTTTCACCTCTATCTGTATTTGCATAAATCTTTGAAGTTGCATTTCCCCTTTTTTCCAAACCTTTTCCTTGCTTGTTTTTCTTTTTTGCTCATTTTCCTCCCTAAATTTTCAGTTCCTCAGATGCCATTTTTTAGACATTTGTTCTGATTTTTCCAGGCCTTTATTTAAGCTGTTTGTAGTCCCTCATACTCTTTACTGAAGCCAAATCTTTTGATTTCATATTTTATTTTATCTGACCAAGCACTAAACCTAAATAATACTAAAATCTATTTAAATCTCTTCTTTCATCTTTGTCTACTCTTGATGTTTTGAAGATCAGGTGACAAATCTTCCAATTTGATAAATAATACACTTTAAAAGATGCATTTTTAACATGAAACATTTAATTAGAGGGAGATTTTTATTGCATTGATCTCTTAATCCCTCTTATTGATATGTCCTCCCATATATGTTGAAAAATATTGATTTTTACAACTCTTCCCCACTGTCCTTGTGACTCTTTAGGTTCTGTGTTCATGCAGAAACCAAGTCATTATTCTCTTCTTTTTTCAGTTCATTTTAAATTTATTTTTTAGCATATTTATGAAACATTTAAAAAAACATAAGGAGAGCCCTTGAAATAATAGCTGAGCCTTGCCAAAATATTTTTTTATTATTAATGAGATACACAAAATGCAGAGATTTGCTGCGCTATGAATCTTGAAAAGTGCTTATAATCATAATATTTATCTCTAGATTTCTCCTGAATCAGTGTTTTATGGTAATTAGCAGTGAGTAATGGTGACTTGATGAGTTATCTTTCAAATTTTGAGTTCCCTAAACCTAAATTTTTGTTATTAATGTTCTTTTTTCATGAGCTGTTTCCATGTGCAATCCCAGTGTTATCCCAAATTCCCAAAAGCTCTCAGGCCTGGAGCTTGCAGAGAATCCTTTTTTTCAGTGA